ACTTTGGCATATGCGTTTTAAGAAGATGAGTGAGAATAAGATTGATGAAATAAGTAGAAGGGGGACTTATAAATGATCAAAGCATTACTAAATTGAAGTTTTGTGAGCATCATGCATTTAAAAAATAGAAAATAGTTAAGCTCGATATTAATATTCACAATACTAATGAAATATTAGACTATGCACACTTTGACCTTTTGGGACTATCTATAATAACATCTAAAAGTGACCCCAAATATATGTTGATGTTCATTAATGATTTCTCAAGAAAAGTTTGGGTGTTTTTCTTAAAGCAGAAGAACAATATTTTACTACATTTAAGGAATGGATGATCATGATTGAGAGTCAGATTACAAAGCAGATCATAAGTCTTGTTGACCTTATTTTCGATGAGATTTTGATTTTTTATCCTAGAACCTAGGATCTAACCTTAGGACTTTTCTATTGGCTATCCTAGAGGACTACTGATGGTCCACTCTTTTAGAAACTCAAACAATCTCCTAGCTCTTTTACGAGGCTTCAAATGAGTGGTCCCATTCACTCAACTCTTAGTTGCAAGGGCTAAGGACCAGCATGTGGAGGCCCAAAAATAGTTCCCATAGACTTTAAATGCCTCAGGAAACCCATTATGACTTTTGTACATTCATGCACACAAATATCATATTTCGGACAATTGATACACATAAATATCACAATTCACATTACCTACACCTATAAAGGTTTCATAATTAATCAAATCTAAATCAATTTTCGAAACGATAGATCACAAACCCAATTTTTGAAGAAAAGTAAAGTTGACACATTTTTGACCTAATTGTCGATGAAGTTGACCTAATAATTTCATATGATGAAATAGAACGCACAAGCGCGTCTGAAATGTCAATTTTAGCTAAGGAGAATACCAATTTTAAAATGGTTTCATGCACAAGCGATAACGCGTGAATTGTGAAATTTTAAATATTAAACATTTAAAAGAAAAAGAGAAAAATTCCTAAATCCCTAAATCCGTTCACTCACGCAACCCCCCCTTCTTCCCGTTCGCGAACCCAGCCAAGCTCCCTTCCTTCGGCCGCACCTCATCTTCTGCGAAGATTCGCCCCCAGGTTCCCCCACTATGGCCCAGGTCGAATCTCCACTTCCCCTGGCTAAAGCTTCCTCCCTCCCGCCCCTCCTGCTGCCTTCTGCTCGCCACTTCTCTCTGCAGCTCTTGCCGCCACTTGCCCGTCCCCCTCGGCTTCGGCTCATCCCCCAGGTAAGTCGAAGTTAATCTCTTCCCCTACCTTGGCTATTAAAACCCCTCTAAAGGGAGGGTTCGAGGTTGTTGAAATTTTGTGCTTGTTTTCGGATATTCTCTGGTTGTGTGCATTTGTTGTGGTGTTCTTGGAGCTCTCTTTCTGGTTTGGGGATCCCTGTGTTTAATCCTTTTGCTCATCATAAGGTAAGAATCCTCCCTTCCTCCTTTTCATTCTGTTAGCCTAGCTTGCAAAGAACTTCATACCTCTTCGACCATTTTTGGGCTATTTCGTTTCTTTTCTCTTTACAAAATGAAGCCTTGCAACGAGTAATTGATGGATGTATTGAGATGTTTTGAAAGGGATTTAAACAATGATTTCTCATATTGGGCTGATTAAACGTTGTCTTTGAGCTTTAAAATGCCGAACTAGAAGTTTTGAAATGTTGTTTTGCCTTTTAAAAAAAATGTTTTTGATTGATATGAAAAACATTGTTTTAGGCTCGATTAAGTGCTGGTTTGGATGGAATTTTGGATTTTGGATGAATTTTTTTTTTCCCAAAGCAGGTATTTGAAAATGTGAGGTTTCAATATATCTGTTTATGAAAATTTGAAATTCATGTGTTTCACCTTTTAGGAAGTGTGAAGTTTGCATAGCTCTGACTTGATGGGGAGTTTGAAAATTTACTTGTAAACTTCATTTTGAGGAAATATAAAGTTAGCGTGGCTTTTGTTTAAGAAATTTGAAAATTTTGCTGTATTTATTTTGGGAAATGTTGAGATTTCTCTTGATTTGTGGACCCACATCGGGGTCACATGAGATCTTTCTTTATAGATGTTCTAAATTGCATAAAATGTTAGCCGCTCATTAGAGGGGGTTTTGATAGAATCCTTGGACGGCCTCATGTCTTTGCTTGTAAATAGAATTTATGTTCTTGAAGAAATGCTTGTATATATATATCAGGAAACAGAATTGTTAGAAGTCAGCTTTAATTATAATGCGCGTGGGCTTTAATAATAGTAAACATAATTGTTGGTTAATTGTGTAAATATCATGGTTGTGGTAAAATCGGAATATATATATTTAGCATGGATTAAATATGTATGTATGTATATATATATATATATGTGTGTGTGTGTGTGTGTGTGTGTGTGTATATATATATCAAAGGTTGATTTGGGAAGAAAATAAAGCATATTTGAATCGAGATAATTAAGAAGAAAAATATGAGGGATTTTTTTCCTTCTTCAACCATTTTTTTAAAAGGATTTTTTTTTCTTAATTTAGATTTCCACAAAATAAATTCATTATTTCTCCTGTCTATAAATAAGCCAAGGAGAAGAGGAAGGAGGTGAAGTCCTCATCCTTGCTTAACAGGTGATTTGGGATTTCTCATGAGAAAAATGACGAGCTAGAAAAAGGTTGTCACAATCCCTGCCCAGCAGATGATCTATGATCTCTTTTTTTCAACCTACTTTTGCAAAGAAGTAGCAGAAAGTTGTCCTAAAGGTTATCCCCGACCCTGCTCAGTAGGATCTCTGGGATATTCTTTCGTAGTCTTCTTTCAAATTGCGAAGATGTTGACATGCAGGGAACCTTGTTCTGCACTCTGGAGGAGACGGTGAAAAGCTAATGTTTTCCCGTCACACATTCCAGAGGAGATTCTCGTGTTGTTGTGATGCTGATTTGGTGAAATTCGCCCTACATTTCGAAGGAGATTTCTGTTTTGGTGTGATGTTAATATCTTAGGAAATCTGCTCCGCCCAGTATTCTGAAAGAGACTTACTTTAGTTTACCACCACGCACTTTGTATTCTAAAAGAGACCCCCGTGCGACTGTCAAACATTTTAGGGGAGATTCCCGTGTTGCTGTCTCACTTTCTAGGGGACATTCTCTTGTGCTTGTAGTGGTGATATCTGGAGAATCTCGTCCCCTTGAAGATCAACAAAACTACTAAAATTTTGAGAAGACGATGCCGTCACAGTTTGAAGATGAGCCGACTTGTTGTAGCCTTTGTATTGGTGTGTGTTAGTTTTGTAGTATTTCAATCTAATGATGTGACATTTGTACACGGTGATGGTGTATTATCTGTATATCTTTCTCTTACTTGATACATTACAAATTTTAATATTGCTTCTGAGGTTGCTTTTGCATTTTCTTCTGAGATGTAATTGTCTAACTTTTGGATTGTTGCTAAGAATATTTGACTTTTTTTAAGTTGCATAGTCACATGCTCAATGGTAGTGAAAAAAGTCAATGGTAATCCATACAGGACATAAGACATGTCCTAGGCTGTATAGCTGGAGATACTCGACTAAGTTAACATCTAATGGAAAGAGAGTGTAAGCAAGGGGATTCCTTGGAGGAGAAGCCGCTTGAAGGCGAGACATTCTCTCCTTGTGGAAGGAGAGCTTCATCCTACCTTGGGGAAGACCAAACTCCAACGTCCTCATCATCCTCTCCGACTAGCAGAGCTTCTTCCCTATATTGGAGGAGCATGGAGTGTGTGACTTCATCATCTATTTTACGACGAGTAGAGCGTCATCCAGGACCAAGCAGGACTTCAATCACTTAGCGCGTAGGTGAAACCCATCTAAAGGAATTAAGTTTTGAAAGATTTACATACTTACTATTTATTTTTGTGTATTTATATATCTAAGATCTAAACTTAAGTTTTTATATTTATACCACCTTACCAATACATGAAAAAAAAGATCACTTTTTACAAGTAAAAAAAAAAAGGGTAAAATTTTTTATGTGATATGAAAAATTTTTGTGGTATAAATGTAAAAAAAAAAAAAAAGTTGTAGTTGTTGATATGTAAATACATCATATGAATTGGGTGGTATTTATTATGTATGTAAAAGCTCCTTAAGTTTTACATAATTTTTGCTTTGAGTGATCCCACTTCTCTCTCTTAAGGGGTTCTTTGCTAGCACTTTTAATAGAACTTAGTCATGAATTTAACCCAAATTTAATACATTCAAACATAAAAAAAAAATAAAACAAAGTAAAACTAATGCTCCGTTAAATGAAACCTTTTTCCGTCTAAATCGCACGTTCAGCCTCTTTTGCAATGTAAATCTCGAGTCAATAAATCTGATTAAGAGGTGGATTATGATTTATTCTGCCGTCACTGACGAGATTCATCTATCGAATTTATTAGATTTGATAAATCTTATTTAACGTAAATTCATGTCACAGCTAAACAACCCTTTTAGGAGTAGTTCTATCTCAACAGAGAATGATAGTTCTATCTCAACAGAGAATGATAGCAATCATTGCTCCCCCTATTTGTACTATAGGAATTGTTAAAGAGCTTAACCTCACGATGAGCTTACAAAACAAGAACGCATTTCCTTCATAACAACTTTATAATTACAAATTTATACTTACAACAATTTATTGTTTTACAAATTGAAAATAACAAATTTGTTATTGCCGTTCCATTTAAATGCATATATATTTATATAACTAATATCTAAATCTTATGTTTTCATATATTTATGATATTTTATCTACGCATAAAAATATATATATATTTTTAAAAATATTATTTCTGTTGTGACAAAGCTTAAATTTTCCGACTATTCCAAGAAACTGACGGCTAAAAAGAGGCTTCGGCGATAAGTTTCATGGACCGAATCATACAAGTTCCATCACGACTGTCCACAAGATAAAATCAACGGTCTAAAAAGTGGCAGCGTACATATCCGGATCAAATCGCGCCACCCAATGATAATTCTCCCCGCCTTCCTATATAAGTATTTTTCCTTCAAAATCCACTCCACCAACCAAATCCATTCCCTCGTCTCTGTGTTGTGATCGTTCGATTCAATGGCACCGAAGGCCGAGAAGAAGGTTGCAATAGCGAAGAAGGCGGCCGCTGAGAAGAAGCCGGCCGCTGAGAAGAAGGCCGCCGCTGAGAAGAAGCCGGCCGCGGAGAAGAAACCAGCCGCGGAGAAGCCAACGGAAGAAATCGAGAAGGGTGAAGCGGCGGAGCGAGCTCCCGCGGGCAAGAAACTGCCGGCGGAGAAACGGCTTCCAGTATCAAAAGACGGCGCGTCTTCCAGCGGAACGAAGAAGAAGAAGAAGGCCAAGAAGGGAACCGAGTCTTACAAGACCTACATCTTCAAGGTCTTGAAGCAGGTCCACCCCGACATTGGCATATCCACCAAGGCGATGAGCATAATGGATTCATTCGTCAATGATGTATTTGAGAAGATCGCTCAGGAGGCATCTCGCCTCTCTCGCTATAACAAGAAGCCGACCATTACGTCCAGGGAGATCCAGACCTCTGTTCGACTTGTTTTGCCCGGGGAGATTGCTAAGCATGCTGTTTCTGAAGGCACCAAGGCAGTTTCCAAATTCACAAGTTCATAGACTCGGTTCTTCTATCTCTCTTCGCTCTTTTTTTTGTTGGTCTGTTAAGGTTAGGGCTAAGTTTGAATTCCTTTAATTGATTGATCTAGCTTTCTTTTTAGGAATGTAATTAGTAGGAAAGTATGATGGATTTTCTTGGATTCTAATTGAGAATCAGGTTTTCTCAAGAAATAAAGCATCGGACGTCATCGTTCTCGTTAAATAATTCAATTCTTTGCTGTGCTGAAGTCCAGGTTACGATGAATGTGTTTTGTTTTGCTTGTATGTTTCATTTGTTTATTACTTTTGAATTCTTGAATCTATGCGTACAGATTGCATAATATATTGCACATTTGAACACATAATTTTGAACGTTGTTGGCTTCTGGTAATCTGAGCACTGCATGATTTGCATGTGGATGAACGAATGTTGAACACTGTTTCTACGTTCTGTTGTTTTTGAGCCGTTCATAATTCTTTATTTATTATTAAATTTTTCTTAGGCTTGTTTGTTTAGTTAAGGTGTCATTTCGTCCTATATTTTATTGGTTTTATGTGTTTATTGTTGTGACTTTAATATCTAGTCCATGAGTTATATGATGAATTTAACTTTAATAAAGAATCACTGATTTTCTCTTTTTAAATAGTTTGAAAATTATACGGGATATATTTGAGGAGAAAAATTTGAGCACGTAAGAAGTTTGCAGAGCTGCGTATATCGGATGTTATTCAGAGAGTTTTGGGGGTTATATCTGTGTTATACCTTCCAGTAACATCTCTATAACCTATCTATAACCCCTCAACACCCTCTGAATAACCTCATGAAATAGGTAAATGAGTCGAATAAGCTCGATATCATTATGGTTGGAACACCTCAAGTGTTTAACACCAATCGACTCAGACGACTTTCTTCACTATTGTGTCAAATCACATGTCGATCGGTCAAGACATTTCAGCGATCTAACGGATTCATGCTCCATTGGGATACTTCAAGACCGGATTGTCTTTTGCATGTCAAATCAATTATATTCAATTATAGTGATATGTGCAAAATATGCTTTACGTTTCTTATAATGTAGTTTTTGGTCATTATCAAGGCAAGGTGGAAGTCCCATAGGGCAAACTGTACCTGGTGCCGCCGATAATCAAAATGAGAGGAGCCATGCTCTTCTTCTATCATGCCTTCCGACAACCTACTTTACACAGGGTCTGGAAGTAGATCACCCACTCCTCATGGGTTGGATGAACATGCACCTTCCAATCGTTTCATATGAGCGAGGCTTACATGCATGTACCGCTCATCATGAATCAATTTGGTGCATATCCTTTCACAGATGTAGTTTAGCTTAAAAACTAAATTTTTTTTTCATGGGTAGACCATCATTATAGTCTAGCCCTCTGTTGATTTCCCCAAGGATGTCGCTTATTACTTCGTTGGCGGAGGCATGACATATTGACTATGATACTCTGCTTGTATAGTTGATTTGCGACTAAGTGGGGTGCTACTTACAGTACATCCCCAATATAGTCTTCTCATCAAGTGTTCGATGGAAGTATCTTATATAGATTGAGCTACCAATGTCTCTCTCAAACGAGAGTTACCCTACTTGTTCCTGAGGAATTCCCCAACGTGAGTCACATCAAGCCTACTTGGTTTGTAAATCTCCCTAACAAGAATTACACCACCACCTTTTCCTACGACACCACTTTGGAGCGTCGCAGGTTTGTCATCATGAAACTAGCAACATATCATGCTTCATAGCCTCTGAACCAACCTAGTGAGTGATGCACCTCTACTCGGGTATACGACTCTCACATAGCTCGAGTCATGCTTCTTAGCAACTGAACCCATTTGAAATGAGTCATATTACTCATCCCCCGTAACAACAACCTACACTATTACAAGCACGTTCTTTCTAACATTGTGCAGTATGCTTGACAATTACTCGTTCTTTTCTTGTAGCTTGTCTAAGCTCACTACAAATATAATCTAGGCTCTCTAAGGCCAAAAATTATAAATTCTCTTAAAAAATAATAAAAATAGAGATTAATTAAAATTTAGGTTTAAAATACCTTAACTTTTTCAAAATTACTTTTAACTTATCGCATGATTTTCGAGTCAGATTTAAACTTATTTGCATAGCATTGGCATAACCCAAGCCATACTAATAGGACCTTCACATTAAGACTTGTATAGATAACGATATCATATTGCATGTCACGAGGAGAAGCTCTCGCACTTCTTTAACTCGACTTGCCCAACATAGATTTCTACTTTGGTGGTTTTCTAGTGCATTTAGGGCATTAGAGGCTTCCTCGACCTAGACGGGGATTAAGTCCTTTGTGAGAGCTTTTCGGCTTCGTAGACATACCTCTTTTCCCTTTCCATTCTAGCGGTGTCCTCACCACTTTGGCAATTATAATTCCCATCTCTACTTTCTACCTATAGTGGGTCAAAAGATTTAGATTTTCCTTCTCTTGACTTAGGGTTATCGAGGTTTGCTTGGACGACACAATTTATGGATTGCCGGTAAGGGGTCTCTGGTCTAGTTAGGTTAAATAACTTTACGACTAAGTAGACTTAGGACCTTAGTAGCTTGGGATGACTAATCTGTGATATCCTGACCTGCCTATCTCTAACAGATCAGGATTAATCTATCCCTTTGCTTACCCACTTTGAGCCATGTTGCTCCTTTGGCACTTCGTCAATGTCATCTCGTAGGTTCTGTTTGCGGGCAGATCGACGTCTGTTTTGGATACAGTGATTCACTCTCTTCCGTTATGGTCCGGTTTGACTTGAAAGCATAGTTTGGATCCTATGAGATGACCTAGTTATTTCATAGGTTTTGTCGTCGACATGCCGCCACCCATTTGTGATTGTGAGAGACTCCCTCTCTTCCTTGATGGCTCGACATGAGCTTTGAAAACGTCGAGATGTTCCTATGAGATAATCATCCTTTGTGACACCTTCTGACTAGTCATCACTTAAAATTTAAGCATAATTCCTTTAATCAAGAGTATTCTTGGGCATCTCTCAGGATGAAATTGATCGAAGGGATATGTCCCTTTGGAAGTTGCTCTTGACCCCAAAACAAACACACAATTTTGATTCTCAGGTTATAAGTTGTTTTTGTAGGTATTCTTTTGTGAATATTCAGTTCAATGTGTATTGCTCCGATTTTATTTGGATGTACACTCTTGACATATCACATGATGTTTATCGCACATAAGTTCTCCATGTTTCTTTTTAAATTTGTCTTTTTAATTTTGGTCTTATTTCGTTTTTTTCGATCCGTCCTCTTTTCTGAATCGTTCCGAATATTCAAGTAAGATGGCTCTTTGAAAAAAGGAATTTTAAAATTACAATTAGACATGCTAACGGATTTGAATTAAAAACAAAAATTCAAACATTATTCAACATCCAACAAAAGTTGAAGGAGTCATAATGAACTTGTAAAAAGAGCACAAATTGAGTACCTTTCTCATATTATCTTGGATGAGTGACCTTTGTGAGCATGAAACTCAAAATTATCGAGTACGTCCTCCTTAAATGTAGCATGATTTTAAGTAGTTATTACATGGCGTGTTATTACATTCTCTTTCAAATGTCTCTTTGCATAATGTACTAGACGACGTACGGCTCCATAGAGCGCTTTACTGTTTCACAACTTAATTTAGGATTTCACATCACATATTGTGAATTTGTAAGAGATTTCTCTGTAAGGAGTGGTGACACTTGGCAGTGGTCGATAGTGACAGACAAGCAATCGTCGAAGGCGATTGGCGGTTGTAGGAGTGAGCCATGTTCTCTAGACCTTCAATATATAACATGGGTTCAACTCCTTCTCTAAGCTCTGCTTAAATCAAAATTCTGGATGATTTTTAATTGAGATTTGAATAATTTTAATTAAAACAATGAGAAACTATTGAATATATAAAATTTGTTTATGTTAGAGCAAAAAAAAAACAAAAGTATCATCATCGTCTTAATAATTTCCTAATTTTAGAATAAAAAAAAATGCAGTTTTTCTTGACTTTCTATGTAAATGTACCAGGCAGTTACCACTTGGGGAAAGAGCAATTGCTTCATGAAAGAGGCTACTAGCTCGGCAAACAAAAATATGTTGTAAGAACATAAACTGCTGCAAATTTATTTTAAAAAAAAAACAATTAAAAAAAAAACAAATAAAAATAAATAGACTGACAAAATTATGATTTTATTATTTTAAATATTAGTCTAAAATTATTTATTATAAAAGAGCTGAAAACATCTGAATAAAATTTTAATTAGATTTATATTTATTTTAAAATATATCTAAAAAATCTTCAAATTCATTATAACTATTTTTTGATGTTAATGTCTTAATATAAATTTTACTTTCCTTTTATTGATTTAAATTGGGGTGAATCAGATAAATAAATTAAAAAAAAAATAAAAAATATTTCTAAATATTACATGATAATTGATGTCATAGTGATGAGATAAAATTTTTAGAATTACAACAGATGTTTTACATTAAATAATATTAAAAATTGTTCTCTAGATTCAATTATTTTTAATTTTAAATAATTATATGTCCCATAATTTTAAGTATTTTATCCTATCATTCTCTATATTATTCTCTAAGATTTTTTTGCCCAAAACATAAGTAGGTGAATTTTGCAAGTGGAATGTAGGCATCTTTATCCAGTTTCGAGTTAAATTTGATCGCGGAGATCTAAATGCTGAGCTAGGAGGAGATGAGATCATGATCCGATAGTTGGTCATTTTTTTTTTCCGTACTAAAAGACCTCGTGTTCAATGCTCACCGATCCAATGCATATGTGTGTCGTTTGCCACGACTTTTTAGTTGACATCTGCAAAGTCAATTCTAAGTCCCCTGGGGTCAAGGATTCGAACCCGCCTGAGTGCATTTGTTTTGCAGCACGAAATCGAATAGTTATACATATTAGGGTGGTTGGAGGCTCGTATCATTGTCTACAACCATTATTATATATGAGGCCGAAACATATAGATAATTAATCAACTCAAATTAATTATGTCAGATTTCAAAATTTAATCATAATTAATTAATTAATTGAAATAGGGATTAGATGTCATCTAACCAATCAATTAGAGCAGTATTTTATTCACAAAAGACGTGTAATATATTAATATATGACGCATGGTTTTGACTTCTAATAATGCACGATTCCTTTGATATTTCATTATTGGGGAAAATGCAGAAAAAGCCAATAACTTTTTTATT